AAAACCCCAAAACCCCAAAACCCCATAGTTATAATTACTATTTAAAGCAATAGATTGATGAAATAAATGATTAAATGAATAAAATCTCATATTTATGATTTGGGTTTCAGTTTTTCTTCTTATTTAAGAAAATAATTGCTCCAACTACAACTCCAGACAAAATTAAACCTATCCCAAGAGTTTTTGCTATCAAAACTTTGTTTTTCGATTCTTAAATAGATCTTATTATTCTTCTCAGTCTAACAATTCTCTCCACATAAGGTGGGCTTTTCTCTCCAATAAGATTTTCAATTTAATTTAGATCTTCGATAATTTGATCTAACTAAGAATTTGATAAGCTCTTTTAGGATTTGATTGTTGCATCATAATTAAGAACTTTAATCTTCTCAATAATTAAGGTTTTATTCAAGATATGATTAGGATTGTCTTGCATAATTTGCTTGTATGGTTAAAGAACTTTTTCTGAGTATTCAAGGGCTTTTTCAAACTAATTATTTATTAGGAATATGTTAATGCAATTTTCTCCAAAGACAATATCAGAGTAATTTGTAGCTAAATTGCTACTAGACACTCTAAGTTGTTCATAGATTTTATCAATCATAGATATTGCTTAATTCACTTCATTCATTTCAAATAAATCTTAGATTAAATATATAGAGTTACTTGCTAACTCCAAATTTTGATCTCTGTTTAACTTCACTTAAATATACTAATCTATGAGCTTGACATATTCTTAACTATTATTGTTCTTTTTGTAAATTGCTCCTATTGCCTTGAAAATATTAAAGTCATCCCCTCTCATATAATCAAAAGAGTTTTAGATTATTTTGAATCGCTATATAAACATTTCTTCCTTGAAATTTTCATTTATATATACGCCCTTCTTGACTGAATCTTCCATTGCAGCGAATTTTAGCTTCTTCAAAATATGCACTCCTATGCAATTATAATTCCCATGATAGAGATCTTATGCTAATTATCTTAGTATAAAATCAGCTCTGTTTATATAATCATTTATTTAAAGATTACCAAAATAATACTAATCATCTAACTCAAATATCTCTTTTGCAGCTCTTGATTGATGGTAATAATCTTTTGGAAATTAATCAAGAGCCTCTAGATACAATACTTATCTATATTCTTCAATTTATTCCAAAATATCAATTTAGAAGAATTTCATGGAGCTATAAGCAGGATTTTTATCTTTCAAGAAGTCAGCTAAGGCTATAATCTCATTAGAAGTATGAATACTTAAAGGGTAATTATCTTTTTATCTTCTCAATACCTCATTGATAATTACATCCTTTACAGTTTAAGTGAATGCATCATATTTCGAAAAGTAAAGACCAATTCTAACTTATCTACATACTTCTCTCAAAAACTTTGCATTGTCAAAGTAAGTTTAATATTCAGTCAATAACTGATTATACTATTTTTCCATGGCTTAAAAGGCAGATTCATCCTGTTCTTCTTAAATTATTAAGAGAGTTGAATACTAAAACCTCAAGAAACTTAATCTTTTATCTTAATCTAATTTGGTTTAATTATTTAGCAGTCTGATAGCGAGTTGAGCAGCCATTTATAGACTTCTATCCTTAGGCTCATAAGATAGCCTATTAATTTCAGCCTAGACATAATATTTATGAGTTTCTTAATAAGTTATTTCTTAATTGCTAAACTTTATTTTTTTCTGCTAATAAATCTGGTCAATTTTTTGCAAGTGTTAATTTACTACTCTTGGTTAAAGTTTCTTTGCTAAAGAGTACATATCCAAATATTTGTAATACTTGACAGAGTTATTCTCTTCAAAGAATATCATAATCTTAAGAACGTATTTTGTGAATTTATTGAGAAGCACTAAGCTTAAAAAGTATTTGGCCTTGCAAGAATAAAATTTTATCAGCAGATTATTATCTGTAGCCTAACTTGTTTTCAGGGTTATCTTTAACGAATTTAGGAGTTTCTTACTTTAATAATGATTTCCTAGGTTAAAGTAAACTTTTGCTAAAGCTATTTAAAGTTTGATAAGATCTCTTTGATTAGTAATATCCTTATCTACTAATTACTTAAGAGGTCTAATAATCTAAAAGTAATATCCAGCTCTGTAAAGAGATAAGATGTTGAATATCTCTAGGGAATTCTTAATGTCTTAAGTTAATTCTTAACTGTTTTTATTAACTAAATCTTGCAAAGATTAGAGCTTATCTTTTGCTTCTACAAAATATGATTGCTTAATTAAAGTTTTGATGAGGTAAATAGCAGCTGTAATACTATTTAATAAATTTTGCGATTGCTATTAAGCCAAAGCTGAGAATTCTACTTCGGCTTCTTTGAATATTTTTTGTTTGTATAAAGAATGCCCATGCCTGAAGATTTATTAATCAACTCCTGCAAAAAATGGAGTAAATTTTATATCTATTTAAGGTGCAGATTTTTCCATTTTAAAGATAAACTTATGGTTTAAATTAATTATAATGATTGAGTGATTATATTATTTGCATAATTCTCTTTAAATTTCATTTAATGGGGTTTTGGGGTTTTGGGG